TATGAAGAAGTAAAAGAACGAGCATATCAGATGCTCATTAAATGGACTGAGTGTACTGAAAAACCTACTCTTAAACTCCTCACAGACGCGTTAAAGGATGCTAAGAAAATTCAGCTTATCGACGGAATTGCAGGTATACATTGACAGCGGTCTTACAGCGGTTTTCGATTGAATGGAAAACGTACGTTCTTAAATGGCGTTCGTTTGTTTTTATGCGAATTGTCCAATCCCAACTTGTAGTTACGGATATGATAAAACAAGATTTTCCGGCAAGGCTACGAATTTGGCGTTGCGTTTCCCACTAGTACGAAATCCACTCAGTTTTTTTCAGTGTTGTTTATTTTGACTGTATTCGAATAAGCCTTTTCATAGTTTAAGAATCGATTCCACTGCGCATGCGATTTTATCCCGAATTTCTCACCTTCTTTTGTTTAATTAAGAAAAAAGAAGGTTTACACAAAAGAAGGTGAGGAATTCGGGATAAAATCGCATACGCAGTGGAATCGATTCTTAAACTATGAAAAGGCTTATTGACCATGGGCCTTTTCTGAAATAGCAAAATAAATAACAATGTAATAAATGCTTTATTATTATTTTTATAAATAGCAAACAAGGTGCATTGTGGTCTAGCTTCGGTACAAACAAACATCTGTTGCTTATCATGCTTTACATGGCATTGTTTGTACCAAAGGTAGACCACATTGCACCCATGTAGTTCGTCTATCTCAGAAAAGCCCTATTGGGCTGACAAAAGTTGAATTCAGGAATTTAGCATTTTGGGTATCGAAGGGAAGAAGAATCGAAGAACCCCACCCAAACACTAAAATCAAATAGGAGAAAGAACAAGAAATTCACTTCTAGATCTGGAAGTGATGACTATTACTTCCCTAACGCCTGAACTACAATTGCTCATGCCAATTTTGGCGAGGTTTGAGTAAAAAATTACAGCAAAAGAAAAAAAATGGTTCTAGCCGTCAATGACCTTCAGCCCAGGCCTTAACCTACTTGAGATCAGATATATCCCAAGTTTCGGGAGGTTTAACCCAGGAATACGCCGAGAGATATGATAATGAAAGGGGACTGTATCTCACCCTTTACTCATGAGAGTGTTGAAAATTTAATCTTAGATGTCCTGCGTCAAAATAGCTATAGGAATCCACCGCAAGGGGGACAACCGGTTACGGCAACCCATTTCCTACGCATTACCAATGATATCGTACACGACTGGAAGTTTATCGGTAGATACCTTGATGTTGAAGAGAGTATTATACGTCAGATAGACAAAGATTCTAAAACAGCTAGAGAAAAAGCTTCTCAAATGCTTATCAAGTGGAAGCAAAGCAATGGAAACGAGGCCACATTAGAAGTTCTCAAAGCAGCACTGCAAGATGTTGGAAGAAAAGATGTCGTAAGAAAACTCTAAGGTTAGTCAGCAGTTTCAGGTTGAGGTCAGGTAAATAACTTATTCGTGGCATTGTGCGTGCGATTGGTAATGTTCAGAATGTTAATGCGAGCATAGATAGTCGTACGTTACTGCTATATTGTGTTTTTTTCTT